GGGGTAGTAGGCGGTTTTTGATGCGGGGAGGGCGGAGACGAGGGGTGGAGTTGCGAGGAGGAGGGTGCCTGTGAAGGCGATGAGGGGTTTGGAGATCCACATAGCGATCGAAGGATGAGGTTAGAGTACGCGTCAAGCGATGGAGGACAGTCGATATTCGATCGAGACGGGGGATGGAGATGATGTTGCAGGGTGTTTAAATATGTTTTAGAGGACACGATGATGTTAGTTCTTCAAATGACCGGCCTGTATTCCCCACCGTCGAAAATGGCATTTTTTATTGGCCACCCCACTCACCGACGCATGCGACAACAAAGAGAACAGGACGGGGGAACTGCAGGTAGGTACAAAAATTGTATGGAAGCTTATGGTTTGTGCTTAGTGTCGAATTACGCAGCTACGCATAGGCAGGTGCATAGCGCGTGAAGTTTGTGGGGGGATCGAACAGAGCCAAGCCACTGCTTTTTGCCGTTTCCAGCTTTCCAGTTCCCTCTTCTCATGCGACTATCCAATACCAACCCCACAACGTCAGTACAATATTATTACGGTAATTCTGCACACGACCTTCCCCACTCGATCGATGATTCACTATCGAGCGAATATGGTGCTTGTCCTGCTTGGCCTCGCACCTCGCGTGAGCTTGTGGCGCACGTGATTGCTATTTGTTAGTGGGGTATCCAGACACTGGTATCCACAACCGATGGTGGAAAGAGAAGGGCGCTTCTCTCAACCTCATGTCGATACAATAGTCCCATCAAATTCTGAAAACGCCCACAATAGAAACAGACATGGAAGTACTAGCTTCCTAATGGTAGTCATGAGATCCCGACGCTGAAATTGTTAACTGAACGTACAAAATAATGGTCTTCCTGCAACAGTCCGCCCGAATCACGTCCCTTGTTTCTTACGATCTTATGACAATTAACAAATCCGGCGCTGATCGCCATCCAGTCAATAGTCCCAACCACACCAACGCTTGTGTCGTTGTCACGCACTCAACCGGACAGCCTTCTCCGGCTCGTTCAAATCAAACACCACAAACATAACCTTCTCCTCCTTGAACGTATTCCCCGCCGCAATACACACCGTCCTCCCTTTTCTCTTCCCCGCATCTCCACTAACCCCTTCTCCATCCTTTAAACTCTCATTGTCATGACCCTCCGCCTCCAAAACATCCACAAACTGTCCCCCCGCCATCCTCACCGTCTCATGCACATGCCCATGCAACCCAACCCCAACTCCGTGCCGCGTCATAAACTCCCTCAACGCAACACTCCCAACCCTCTCCCCCGTCTTCAGTATATCGCATGCGGTGTTGAAGGGTGGAGAGTGCGCCATGAGGATCCAGCGGGAGGGGTGCGTGGTGGTGAGGAGTGGGTCGGTGGCGGCGAGGTGAGCGAGGCGGGATTCGATGGTGGCGGTGAAGTCGAGAGGGAGGGTGTATGGGTCGAGGTGGAGGGTGGCGGGGGAGGACCGGAGACCCGTGCGTGTGTAGGCGCATGTGCGAGGGGAGGCGGGTGCCGAGGTGGAGGTGTTGCAGTCCGAGTTGAGGTCCATGAGTTCACCGTCTTTCAGACTTTTTTTTGTATACAGGTTTTAGCATGAGAACACTAACGAAACGCTCCGAAAACAACGGCATCAAAACTGACCGTAACGTCTTTTCCTCACCTATGCGGCGACGGCGGCACCCACGGAACTCCAACCAACACAAACCTCTCCTCCTTCCCCTTCCTCTCCTCCTCCCTTAAAACCACACACTCATCATCCAAAACCCTAACCCTCCCCCCCGTCTCCCTCCGCAGCACACTTGTATACTCCTCCAAATTCGCCCTAAAATCCGAATTCCCCAGTATCATATACACCGGCAGATGACACTCGTCCCTCAACAGCGGTACCAGTTTCCTCACAAACCAGTCGCGTTGGAGTCCCACCGCCTCGGTACGCATGGCATTATCATACTCGCCCTGGGCCGTGGGAGTCGTTTTTGGGAAGCGTGTTTTAATGAGCTCCCCGCGGCGTGGGGATAGGTCACCGCCAAGGAGGATTGCGGCGCAGGAGTGGGAGGTTGCTGCGTGGAGGAGTTTGCGGTAGTGGATGAGGTTGCCGTGGAGGTCCGACGAGAAGAGGATGCGCATGTCGGGGGGTTGGACGGGAAGATTGGGGAGTGTGGGGGACGCAATTTGCAACGTTTGTTGTTTTTGTTAACCTTGCCAGCCACCGTCGCTTGGTCCTCCAGTCCTCCAGTTCCCGCTCCTGACAGCCGACGCTCGCAACCATTTTGGCCAAATCCACTCGCATGACCGCCTCCAGGCCGCGGCATATACCTTTCTCTTCCCCAATCAATGACAACATCAACCACACCATGCACATGCCAAAAGAATATCACGATCGTTTACGCACAACGGTTACCCTCGCGTACATATCTCACCATGGTATGCCCCACAAAGGGAACACACACCCTTGCAAGAATGACACTCAACAACATCGACACGCATCGTTAGATGGTGCGACGAAGTTTAGAGAACGCAAAAAGCACAAAAACAATCCCCTTGGACGCCGGGTGGACAAAAAAAATATGGAGGAGACATCCGTGTACGCGACCATGTTCACGACCATGTTCACGCTGGGGGTCGAACCCAGGACCTTCGCCGATTTTAATCACGTAATGATTATGTAAAGGCGACGCGATAACCACTACGCCACGCGAACGTTATAACGAAATTGGGAGGCAATTCCCAATAATATGCGGAAGGATGGATGAATCGCGATTTGCCATAGAAGTGCAAACCATGCTTAAGGGCCAGCAACGGGAGCCGGTCGGCGCGTGTGTCTTGAAATGAAAGGCATTATTTGATATAGAATACTCGATGATATCGCGAAAGTGGATGCCTATCCGCGAAGCGATGGGTATCCGGAACGTCAACTGGTGCTCCAGCGCACATTCTTACCGGCCTTTACGTTCTGGCCGGCTCGTGTGCTTTAAACGACAATAATCGTAAGGGAAACTTGCAGCCATTTTATCTACCAGTGCGTTCGGTCAACGGGGTTCATAAAGCCAACACCGCATAAATCGGAATTTCGCGTAGTTTTTTTTGGGCCACCGCACCGGGACGTCTTCTAATTATTTGTCCCGAAAAGTACGTTGCCACAAACCGCCAACTGCTGCACGCTTTGTGCGCCTCTGCTTCTTTCCGCCAAAATGATGCAGGAGCGACGCCAAACCGACATTGGAGACATGTTGCCTGTATTCGAAGAGACGAAGAAGTCCCATTGTCTTGCTTCGTCCCCCGCTGGTTTAATGAACAGCTTTTTGTTCTGGCTGGGCCACATGCGTTACATCACAGTGTATCATTTCAAAACTCGCTGCGACGTTATTGATAATGCGATTCGCCTGCGGGGTTTCAAAGATCACCCCATGATAGGGGACTCGTCCGAAAGTGCTCGATTCTTTTTTGTGCCGGCGCGCCGGCGCACCTGGGACGTCGTTTGAATGGTTTGCGAAACGTGCATTACTGCAAATCTCTGGTTACCGTCGCCCGCTTTATATAGTTTCATTTCTGTCCTGCATTTGCTAACCCAGCAAGTGATGAGCGGGCAACGCTAAAAGGGAATTGAAATTTGAAACGTGTTGCGCCCATCCGTAGAACGGAACGCGCAGGCATTGATATTCGATATATAGAATCCATTTTTTTTGCGCGGCCTTTCGGGAAAGACCTAGAATTCCAGCGTTGCATCGCGCACTGGGCTGTCATTACAAGGAGGCCCACGCCGTACAATTGACAATTGATGGAACGGCTATGGTCGATTGATTGTCGGAACGACACATTCAGACCTGATCAGCTACCGAGCGGCTTTGTGTTATATCCTACCTGCTCGGTGGTACACTCAGATTACCAGACGGACACTGAACGCGTGATTGCTATTTTTTTCTCTGCGCCGTTCGCGCCCATTGATAGACTTCACTTGATTTACTGGCCAAATCCATCCGTGTGATATGTCCCAGCACACCATTGGGCGTGTTACATAATGCAGCGCATACCACACGACGGGGTTGAAAAGGTGAAATGGCCATGATCAAAGACGGCTTTTGTTTCACTTGACGCGCATGCAGAAGCGATGTAGTTTATTTTTTGGCGCTGCGGGTTGGTCACATCCGGTCAAAAAATGCGAATGTTCAAAGCTTAAATTGAAACTCGGCGCGTTTCCCGCCGTTAAACGTTAAACTGCGCGCGTTTCCCTGCCGTTAGAGTAATCCCCACTCGCATCCTCCCGTATGTTACTCAATATACCACGGGTTCATGACGTAGTGCGAATGACAACCACACAAGAAAAACGAAGGTTAAAGCGAGGAAGGTGGAATCAGCATCCCGGAACGTCAGTTCCCACATCGGCTTGGGTAGTGTATCTGAAACGACATTTCCAATCTGTCTTCTGAACCCACTTTCCAGCATGCTATCTGAACCAGCTTTCCACCGTGTTGAGTTCTTTACAAGCGCAGATTTCTGAATATGGTGGGTAGATGCGAACGTACTATCATTGAATCTGTGAGCGGAAGGCCGACTGCGCATCCGTCCGCGCACCTACTCGCTAGAGTTGTCTTTGATAATTCCAATTGATTTTTCCTGCGCTTTCCTCCAGATATACACGAAACCCTGACAGTAATCTCAATAAAATCTTCCTACCATCTTTCTTTCATGGAATCCCAGCCTTGGGCGGTGCGATGGGACAAAAGGAAACGAACTGCGTCGGGACAATTGATGCATCCGTGAGGGCCGGTGTGGGTTGACAATTCCCATTTCCTTTTGCCTCGTTAATCTTGACCCTTGTTCTCCTCCCGTTATGACAAAGAAAAAAAGGTTTCTCATCTAGAGGCGTTGGATTTGGAGTTGGTACGGGCGCCTGCACAAGCGCGAACAACGACCAATGCTAGCAGGACGTTTTCCCAGTACGAATGGGGAAGTGCCCCATCATGCCAACATTTGTCCCCCCGCGCCCTGAAATTACCGTGATTAGTTTGGTCATGTTGCTGTGCCCACTATTTTGGTTCCAACTGAGGGAGACGCAACTATTACGATGAATCAGAATGAGGGTCGCTACTCAAGTCAATACTTATTAACGGGCGTTCAAAATCCATTTTACCGCTCGGATTAACAACAACGGACACACAGACTTTTTTTGCACTTGGCTGTTCGAACAACAAAGAAAATCAAGGAAAAAAAGGGGTGTGTAATCGTTTGAGGCAAAGATGACGACTACCAACTCGATGCCTGATGAATGGCCATCGAATTCAGGCTGCACCGCATGAATAGTTAATTTGAGCCGCTGTACTGATAGGGATACACACCATGGGCCACTTCGTTCTTTGAAACTACATCAGTGGCATGGAGACCGGACTGCGCGCGTGAAATCCATTGACCCACATTTTGTACGATCTGGAGCGTTCGCGTACGGGACATATATTTGTGAGAAGAACATTATTTTTTGCGCTTCATCTGATGCGAACGCTGCGTTCGGCCGGTACATCTGGGCACCAGGTGCAGAAATGGATCACATCAATGCCGACGGCTCGCATGCTTTCTTTCCCAAGAAGTCTATGGAGGATAGCACGGCCATTCTCGTCAAATGTGCGACATAGTTCAGAAGAGCTGGGCTCCTCCGATTCTCCTCGATGGGTATCCAGATATAAACCAATTTTTTTGGAATCCGATTTATCTGCCAAGGGAAAATAAAAGCAGCACACGGCTAATGAACTACACCGCGTGGCACCTTATCGCAAGCGGCTGTGTAAACAAAGAGTCCAGAAGCATGGACTACTTCCCACGGTGGTGGACAATTGTTGGAACGCATTAGAATACGAAAAGGTGACGATGCATCCGCAGCTGGGTATCCAGAAACAAGTGGATTCTGATCGTGATCCACCCTGTTTTTTTTTGTGCTTCCCATGAACGGAACGTTCGGGTAAGTCAAAGACGAAATAACTACTTTTCTTACGGACGGGCAGGCGGCACTGAATTCCGGTGAAGAACAAAATAGTGCCGGGTAGCATGAAGGATGTTTGAGTTGTTTTCCGTTCCGTCGATCATTGTAACTTGAAGAAACGCGAACGTCCTTCTCGTCCTTTTGCGAATCGCAGCAGGACACCTCTCGGAGCTTTAATGTGCGCGCACATGGACATGAACGGCATCCACCCACATAACACGGAGCTTGAAACTCCTGCAGTCCCAGACGGCGTAGCATGCGCATTCCAAGGTATCCAACGGAGCAGGGCAAGTATTGTTTTCAGTGGCAGGGACGGTCACCACGTCCCATCGCCACCTGTGCGTCCCCAACTCTTTTCTGGTTTTATGTTTACGTACTTAGCGGGGCTCGACGATGAAAGTAAACACCACAGATACGTAGACTAAAAGGCTCTCAAAAGACCAGAACGATCTCCGCCCCATGCAAAACGCATTGTGGTGTCAAACATTGTGACGGAAGTTGGGCAAAGCCGTTCGTCATGCCCGCTTCATATTGCTTTCGCGGTTTGTTTTTTTCTGGTACTACTTCCATGGTAGGCTCAAATTGCAAGAAAAGCAACCCAGACGGCAGACGGTGAATTGAATAGAAAATGTGCGGCCACGGTGACGAAGCACCCCGCAAAAAGGGTGACACAGCAGGGGTCGACGATAAACTGGGCGGCATCGATTGCGATGAAGGGGACAACCTCAGTGACAAAGCACACCAGGAATTGAGAGATTTTCTTTGGGGGGTTTATAATCTGCCCACTTGGGTGGCCCCAGGGGCGACGGTAAGTTCTGTCATCATCAGTAGTGTTGTTTTATCATCATCCAATGCCTTTAACACCTATCCCTGTGTTGTAGAAACCTTTGCGCACCATTTGCTTCCACGCTGTTAAGAACTTTAAGCCGTTCAAAGATTCCTGTATCAATTTGTACCCCTTGCTGCCCGAGCAGCCGCAATCATGGAGGTTTTGTGTCCTGAAATGTACAAGAAGTACAAATTCCTGTTCGAGCGCATTCCGGAGGAACCAACCATCAAGGTCCTCCACCAGAACATGCCATCAATGCTTTTCACGGAGTTGGCTGTCCTTATCCGCCCCCCTGCTGATGCTCATTGGGACCAACACGACTTGCGCTGGGGCTGGTGCGTGATCTTTGTTTTTGGAGATTCTGAAGGTGGGGATTTTGTTCTCTACGATGGGAAGGTAAAGTTCCATCTGCGAGCAGGGGACCCTATAATGATAAGATCATTTGCTTTGACCCATTTTGTGGAGCAGTGGGAAGACTTCCATAGGTATTCCTGTGTATTCTTCTGGCACTGACAGCATTTTGCTGCGTTGGGGCCACAGAATGGGGAGGAGGGCTGGTTCACCGAAGCAGAGGAGGAGCGTTTGGCAAAATGGGGCATCCGGCCGATACCTGATGGGAATCATGAGGTGGAGGACAAGCTCACGGAAGCAGAGAAGGAGGAATGGCTGGGCAGGGGGGGTGATGGTGGGGCGGAAAGAGTGAAGGGCAGGGCGAAGAAGGTGAGGGCGAAGAAGGCGAGGGGGAAGAAGGCGAGGGGCGAGGATGGTCTAGATAGAGGAAAGAGTGCTAGGGAGTAGGCGGGTAGGGTGAGAGGGGCCAATCTATTATACACAAGGGTTCTTTGTTTCCCCCACACCAAATACTACTCGCACGCAAGTCTTTTTGGCGCATGATTTTGCA